CGTCTTTTATTCCTTAAATAAAAATAGATTATTTTGTGTTCAATTTTTTCCTCTTTTTTATACAGAAAATAGTCGTTTACATCATATTCACCTATTCCTAAAATGGATTTTTATTCCGAGATGTTTTATTAATTTTCCCACTATACTATATAGTACTCACAAACCAAAGAAAACATCCTAAAATAGTTGGGCTCAAATAGTATCCCTAATGCCAACTTATTTGATTGATATAAAGTTGATTTGTCCCACAATGGGGTTTATTCAAGTTATMTTGGTTTGTATTTGGTACATTTTTGATTTTGTGACTTGGCATTTGTTTTGGTTGTTGGTTGTTTGCATTTACATTTGTGTTCGTTCTTAACCATGACCATTGAGCGTGAAATTATTTTGTAATTAATGCCATACAGATAGGCCTAAAATCTCAAAAAGGGCTTATTCATTATATAATCATAGTCAATACTGTTCAATGAAAGATGTGATAGATAAAGTGCAAGAAAGAATACTTACAAATTGAATCGATGATACACAATACAAAAATCCCATTCRAAGCACATGGAAAACTTACCTGAGCCAGCGTTATCTTTTACCAGCATCATCAGGTAGTCAGTGTCATGTGTCACTACATGATAGTCTTACTTTCTAACTTGCTTAAACAAAGTGGTAACCCGTCTTATGACGCAGCAACSACAAAAARTAGTAGGTTATAGTAACTATTTTAATAAAATTTCTTACTAGATTATGTCGACATTTGATCTTCCAGGGCTTTGCAATATGAAGGCAGACCTTTTGTTGTGTGGTTTTTACACAGACCAAGAGTTATGATCTATAGCAAAGAAAACATAAGGGTAAATAATAATCTCTAATAAACAATGCAATCCTCTAGACTATTGTACTATCAGTACTGTTATTAAATATATGGTCTTAAATCAGACAGCAAGCATTATTTTAATACATTTAACTCTCTTTGAATGACTACTCTCGTAAGTGACCTTCTACTATTAGCAACCACCTTTTAAATTTCCCATTTTGTTTCCCATCAGATAAACTCTGTAAAAAACTTAATCTTGTAAGCGAACATCTCTCGTAAGCYAACACTTTTTCCTGATCCTGAGGTGGTTGTTTATGAGAGAGAGTACTATAATTAAAAACAGTTATTAAAGCAGTAATAGGCCTTTTGCAGCTGGGGGCCACGTGACCACACCTACCTTAAATCAATCAGTTATCAAAAAATTATGTTCAGAAATGGAAAGAGCAGGTTTATGTTGGTAAAATAGCAAAGTCTCAAGTCTCAAGTCTAAATACTTAAAAAATGACAGCAAATGTGAAATATTGATTTTTCTAAAGAAATGTATGGGAAAATAGAGCTGGAGAGCAAGCCTTACTTTCCAGTTCTGTTTTTGCATATGCTTCTTTAGAAAAAAAATGATTTTATATTTGCTGTCATTTTTGAAGTATTTATATTAGTTTTGAGACTTCTTACTTCTTTTGATCCCCTCTTTCCATTTCTTATCATCATTTTGTGATAGCCGATTGATTTAAGGTAGGTGTGGTCACGTGACCCCTAGCTGCAAAAGKCCTATTGTATAATAAACTAGAATCTGAATGTACCATATTTATTTAGTGCCAAAGTGATGGGGTCTATGTCACTTCTGACATGAAATGATAAATKAAATGTTATGGTGAAGAAAGTGATGGCAGCAAAATTTTATGATTCAATTTTTATGAAAACCTTTTTCCCAAATTTGAATGTCATTATTGACATGAGCTTATGATGATGTGAACCGAGTCAAACCTGCACGGAAATACTTGCATTTATTTTTGTCATTTAAAGTCATATAAAGTTYTTTCTTGTTAGGGGGTATTGTTATTGTCAATTATTTTCTGCTTCTCCTCATGCTTCATCCTGGTGCATCCTTAGTCTGTCAAGACATTCTATTTATAAAAAAAATTATATATCCGTAGAAAACATTATTTTCATTGAATTTTCAGGATGTCATGATCAAATACAATCTTCGCAAGCCACCATCCATGAAAAAGAATCTCTCTCAGTTATTTGGTGTCAGATTCATGAAGAATGGCCTGGTTACAGAAATTAACCACGATGATTGGAAAAAGAAAAGACAGGCTGCAAATCCTTCATTTTATCGCTCGTAAGTAATTCAAATTGGCTTGGCTAATAAAGTTTATTGTATGTCTCAAAGTGTTCAGTTTGGGAATAGATTAGAATTACACCCTGTCCTTTGTATTTTGAATTGCTCAAATGATTGTCAAAACGCAAATGATTGTCAAAACGCACTAAAGAATTTAACCTCGAGTGGCTATGATTTTCCATCGCGCTATAGATTGCCTTTGTTTATGCTAATAACACTAATGAAGTTTCATTTTTGAGTGAATGATTGTCAATAAATGCAACCGTTTGTCAATTAGTGCTATTGAATTTTCATTGCACGAACAAGAAACAACGTTCCATCCAAATGATTGTCCAGTCTTTCAGTTGATTGTGTATTGATACTGTTGAATGCTTGCACGTATTTAAATATCGCTATATTTCGCGCCAATGACGTTGTTTGCGGTGTTCAAGAAAGTACAATAAAAGTAATTGAAGTTATATTTAACAAATAAATAAGGCTCAACCCTGGTTTATACTCTGATAAACGCACAGTTGGTATTTGAAACACACGAGAAAATGAGGACGCAGGTACGACCATCCTCAGTGTCTGTACTTCGGCCGCATAACCTCGAGGGCACTAACACACTAACGCACTAACAATTCTAACGTACTCATGTTTGTAAACTGCACGGCTGCTTAAAGCGCCTCTTCAATATCAGTCTATTGAAATGCGAAATCTGGAAAGTCGGCCACATCCATCCATCCGTCCATCCGTCCATCCGTCCATCCGTCCATCCGTCCATCCGTCCATCCATCCATCCGTCGAACATGCACTTGGCTGACTTTTTTTTCCACAAACTACACAACCACTGTTTGACCTAACAAACTAGGTAGAATTAATAAACAATCAAAGCGAAGCAAGAAAGAGTACACTACGAATTGAGACCGCCATGGTTGTTTTTTTTTTGTTTACTTCGCGCTTTAATATCTACAAAACGGCGCGAATCTGCTGGCGGGTGAGCCGTGACGGGCTCATATCAGCAGTTATTACCACTAATGGACCTCTCCAGATACTTCCCACAAATCTGCGGGCCGCGCGCATCAAACCGAGGTCAGGTTTAATTAGAATAGACTAAGAAAGTAAACAAACTCAATAAAATAGCTGAAAAGTACTTTATTCACTGCTAAAACATAATAAATTCTGTTTTTGTTTTGTTGTTTAACCATAAAAAGGAGCTAACACTGCTGCATCGTTAAGTTTGAAGTGATTTTGAACTAAATTCGCTGCCGGGAAAGTGCACGAAAGAAAATATTAACAGAGTCAGACTTTTGACAATATTGCAAACGGCTCAAATTCAAGGTACTCAAGTTAAAAATAAAGCTTTTTTTTTCAATACGTCATTTGCTCATACTATCAAAAATATTTTCTTCACTTGATGTTTTATCTTGAATAGAAGTTCACAGGAAAAAATCGTCAAACTTATGAGCGAAAACATTGCATCTTTTCAACCTCAATTCAGTTCAGAACAACTCATAAAAATAATAAAAAATAG